TCAAGGGATTCAAAGGCATTACAGAGCTGGGCTTTCCAAGACCGCTTCCTGCAACACAAAGTGCTACTGGAGCCGTGCAGAGCTACCAGGAAAATGTACCGTTCTCCAGAAGAAACAAAAAATCTATTGGCCCCCATTTCACAACCATGATTCTAGTGAAAAAACTAGGGATATTTTACTTGCCCATGAAAAAGAGGTGCTGCCCCCGGTGAGCGTGCAAGAGGAATTTTGCATGGCTGTGCTAGAAGGACACAACATTTTCTTAAGGGCACGTTTACACTAGAAAATCTCATTTCAGTTTACACCTGCCCTGGCAATGTCAAACATGGCTTAGCACTAAGTGTAGACAAGGACTGTCCTGCTGAAAGTCGTGTCAGCTGGTCGCAAACCACCTGAGACGCAATGTTCAATATGACACATCTCTGCCCACACAATGAGTGAAACCTGGGTAGGGCCCTGGCAGGGAGCAAGAGCTAACAGCTGTGTAGCCAGGGCGGCTCTGCTCCCATCTGACCAGCACCTTATATCCTCACAGTCCTTCACACCACAGGCAAGGTATTTCCAAGGCCCCAACTCCAACATGTCATAACTCCCCAGGGGGAAGAAGAGAGTTCAAATAGGTCAAGAGACCCAGATCTCAGTTACTGCAATGGATCGAAGTCTGGGTCCTACTGGGCTATGGGAATGAAGAACAGTCTTTAACTGAGGGAACCTCTGACCACATTCTCCAGTTCCCCTCCCCTGGCTCTCTGCATACGGAGCAGTGACAAGCACATCAGTGTATATGAGCTAAGGGACTACATGTTTCACCACAGAGAAATTGGGGACGAACCCTGTGGTTCTATTTCCCCACAATGCACATACAGCTAAGTAGCTGGCTCACTCCACAGGCCTGAATCCGGCCCCAGGAGCAGTCCAGGATGTTACATTTATAATGCAGGCATAAGGCGCGCCAAGAACAGGTGTCTATATAGGGATCTATCCCAGGGAGCCCAGGCAGACACTGCAGGCTGCTGTGATGACTTGCCAGGAGTCCAGGGCACCAAAGTCTGTGTAACGCACAGCTGACCACAGAAGCGCTCTTCAGTACGATAAAAAGAAATGCCTGCACGAGGTTCTAGCAGACACGCCAGGTCCAGAAGGCTCTCTCCCACCAATAGCTGCTCCCAGTTCTCTTTTCAAGGGGCACCCCCCTAAACCTGTGAAGGGAGGCGGTGACTGGTCCAAACACACACATCCCCTCTCCAAAAATCTTCTGCAACACCAGGCGAAACCTTTTAAGCTGCTATTACTTTAAATTGCCACACCAGAGCCACGTCGGGGGCCACACGCTAATACCATCTCCCAGAATCCCCTGCTCCTCACTGCCTATTCCTTTCAGATGGGAAGAGCTTTGGGCACTGCCCCCTCCCTAGTCACACACAAGCCGCACCAAACCAGTTCCAATGTGCGCTATCCCCCAACCTCAGAGCTGCCAGGGGAGCCGAGCTGGATACCCCAGGGCTGGTTAGCACTGAACGAACCAA